CTTCTCTATATGTGAGTCAGCATGTGTGTTTTCTGAGCCCAGTGATATATGCAGAGGTATTAAAACCTGTACTAAAATCTGTACTGATTTTCTTTTTGGTAAAAAACACATACAAGGAAACCATTCCTTTTCTTCTTCTCATTGGATATTGACGTGTCTGTGCTAGGTACCTGGAACTGAGACAACGTTGCATGGCCATAAGGGGTGCTGAACCAGCACTCTGAGAGGGCAGCATGGAAAGATGAAAGAATCCGAGTTTCAAAGATGAATACGAGGAGGGACGTTAACCAATCTTGGAAGGGAGATGCTTTCAGATTTCTTTTTATATGAGATACTAATTTCTTGTTATTATTTTTTTGTGTGTGTGAGGAAGATCAGCCCTGAGCTAACATCTGATGCCAATCCTCCGCTTTTTTGTCAAAGAAGATTGGCCCTGGGCTAACATCCGTGCCCATCTTCCTCTACTTTATATGGGACACCGCCACAGGATGGCTTGACAAGCAGTGCGTCTGTGCGCACCCGGGATCCGAACCTGCGAACCCCGGGCCGCCAAAGTGGAGTGCGCGCACTTAACCGCTACGCCATGGGGCTGGCCCCAATTTCTTGTTATTTTTAAGGACAAGTCAGTAAGGATTTTATGTTCTGCAAATGAAGGCATCCCAAGGAGACTCTTTGAACCTCTCACACATCATCTGCTAAAAGGAATCTTTTCCCAACAGTACATTCAGTGACATCACAGTGGTAGTTTCTGTGACATCATGTTGGTGGTTTGAAATAAGTCATGGTGGGAGCGATTATTTACACCATGGAAATTGGTAAATGATACAAATTGGAGTTTTTTTTTTTTTTTTTTTGAGAGTCAGTTTACCAGCACACCACTGGAAAAAAATAAAATCACGCAGAATCATTAAAAGTATCAGAGATAATATAATGTGTTTCCTACGAATAATAGAATTTAATAGATGGTGGCTATTTTTGCTATGTATATAATAGTACAATTACCCCAAGTCAACAAAAAAATATTACAACACAAATAGAACTGATTTCCCACCACAGACATGTATGTGATAGGTGTTAGAACTGTGTTCCAAAGGTTTGATATAAAATTAGTTGTGGTCTTTAATGGGTTAGCCTTTTGTTATCCAGAACATTCTACTTTTACTGTGGACTAACACTGAGGAGCTGTGGTGTCAGATTTAGGCTAAGGGTGTGGTGAGTGAGCTGGTGAGAGCACCTGCCTGAAAGAGAGGCTGGGTGTCATAACGTTATAATGTCACTGGATGAGAGTCATGACTGCCTGTCTAAGAAGAGGGGAATGAGTTTCTGAAATGGGGTAGCTAGAGGTCTTATGTTCGGTTTCCCGGAAAACTCACTGCGATGAAGATTTGTATGAGGAACAAGACCTGTGGGAGACAGAAGGAAGCCAAATGGGACATGGGGACATGGGGAGAAGCTGGACTGTGATGCAGGGACATCAAAGTCCTCAGCTGAACACACAGAGAGCTCTGAAGCTGTGAGAGTCCTTTAGAATTGCCCCCAAATGAGGCAAGCACCAGTCATCGGATGTGAACTGTCCCTGGGGAGGAGTCATTGTCACGAGTGGAAGCTCCTTTTGGCTGAGGTGAATCCAGAGAGGGTACAGCTGTGATCAATCTATCAGCAGTCAACATTCTTGGTAGCTGGGGAAACGAGTGCCTTGCTTCTGAGGGGGTCCTGGTAGCACTGCACTGCGCCAGCATTTGCTACAGTGGGATTAGGGTAGACTTTCCCAGATTGTTTCTCTATTTGATCCCTTCTGCATCTTATCTCAAGCTAAGCCTCACTATTCAGCCAGCCTGTCATTTTCATTTATTGGGCCTAAAATTTAAGAGCACAAAACCCAGCTAAAATCTCACCTCTCCTCAATACCTTCTGTAATAACCCATCCAGATTGACTATTTATTTCCTTGCAACAAGTATCAGCCAAATGATCATGGTTGCAAGGAACAGAAACTAATTATGAATAACTTAGGCTTAAATAGAATTTATGGGAAGGATGGCTGGTAGCTCATAGAATCAAAAGAAAGCCAGGAGAAAAACCAAGGGAGGAGGAACAGCAGCAATAATCCTGATGGGCAACTGTGCAATTGTAGACCCTGCTGATCCTCAGCCCACCCACTCACTGCTCCTGAACAGTCCCCACTGTACCCTCCCCAGTGGCACTCACTGCAGTTACCACTCTTGCTATATATGGCTGCTGCTGCACATCTAATGCAATGGGATCTTTTTATGTATCTGTCACTCATTTGAGATTCACAATCCTTCTGTGAGCCCTCATTGTCTGACCTGAGGCCATGTGCCCGCACCTTCAATGCCAGGGGGTGAAGAGAAAGGTGATGTTTCTGGTTATGACTGGCTGTGCCCTCCCCACCAAGATTCACACTGTGGGGGAGTCCAAGAACTAGGAAGAAGGTTCATGTTCTAAGTCAGTACAAAACCTGATAAACATCCAGTGCCCAATGCCTCTGTACCAAGTGAATCACATTCTTGCTCTATTGATGTGTGTTTTTCTATAGGTGTGTTCTAGGAGATCCCAGGTGTTTTTATTCATATACCTCTGTAGATAGTTAGTGACTACTCAGTCTGAAATGCACATCCATTTCTTTCAAAGAGAGGAGCAAACTCTATTTCCTGACTTTAAGGTATGTTATGGAATATATATGAAGGGTTTCTTGGTTCTAAGAAACAGACTCATTCAAGCCAACTGAGAGAGAAGGGGCTTAGTGCTGGGAAACTCGTGGGCTGCTACCAGATCTTGGAAGACAGGAAAGAAACAGGGTGGCTCCAAGCAATGGCTTCACGTTTCAGGATGGATTTGTCCTTCTCTTGTGGCTCACGTGGTCTCTGTTACTTCGCATCCCCTCTTCTCTCTTGGCTTGGCTCATTCCCTGCTCCAGAGACCTGGTTCAAATTCTGAAGGAACTAATCTCATTGATTTGGCTCAATATTATTCTTCCGTTGGGCAGAGAGCCTCATGAATCTTTGGCTAGCATAAGGAACGAGTCTGGTGTCCTCCTAGTCTATTCAGTGATTGCCCCCCATGCACAAAGAATCACCTAGATCTGTTTTCCTGAACATCTCAATTATAATAGGATGCTGGGTGTGGCGGGAACCATGTCTTACATGTTCCAGGGTCCTCTAAGTGTGACTTGACTTTCCTCCCAGTTCTTGGGAAGTCATCCCCACTTCTTAGGAAATAAAGGAACCATTAGCAAGTGTTATGCTTTGTGCCTGCTATTATGTATTATACACCTAATCTCACTGAATCCTTACATCATTTCTCCGAGGTAGGTATTACTCCTATTTTATGTATGATGAAATTGAGGATCACAATGGTTATGAACCCAAGATAAGATAGTGGAGCTGGGTTTTAAATCCACAGTAGTCTTGCTGCAAACCCTTTTTTCCGATACCTCTGTTGACACATTCATGACAATGCTGAGACATTCCTGTCCTGGTTATCAATGGGTTTCTGAAGAAAGCTTCCAATTACAGGACTTTTCCGGTAGGGAAGAGTTCAAAAGTAAAGTGGAACAAGGTAGGGGTGATGAAGGACTGGAGATAGAGGTGTTCACCTGCTGAGCTCAGGCTGCTGTGGAAAAGTAGTCTTCTTCAACAGCTGGCCCTCAGATGGCCGGAAAATAGTCTCATCATCAAGCAGTGGGGTGTTGCTCCCGAGTAATGAAGAGAAACTAACCTTAACAGCCCAAGATGGGCACTCCCCATGAGGTCCTTGCCTTGTTTGTCCAAAACCATTTCACCAACAATTATAGTTATTGGGGCCTCCAAACAAAACCTCCCAACATCTGCAAGATAAAAATTAAGCCCTTTTAGAAGTAGAACTTTAAGTGCTTTGTAATGGCCTCACAGGGAATTGGCCCTGTCAGGAAAACTCAGCTAATTAGTGTCTAGCTCTTCTCCATCCGTCCATATGCTCTGCAGAGGGGATAATATTTCAGAACCTAGGGAACCCTAGGAAAATGGGAATATGTACATGTACATAAGCACCTAGCATCACCTATAACGTTAGTTCCTTTCCAGCTCTTTCTCCCCCAGCAGTTAATGTCAATCATAACTGTTAGTGTCTCCAGGAAGTCTTCCTTGATTAAACAAGCCTGAAATAGATGATCCCTTTCCCCTTCCTTCCCCAATGCCATCTTTCACAAATGCTGTGCATTGTGGGCAGACCTAATGGTTATATACTTACGGAGGTGGGAAGAGGAAAAGGAGAGGCTGGGTTAGAGGATTTAAATAAAGGCAAATGTATTGCTTTCATATATGTGTTGAAACCCCACTTAGTTACTCTAACATCCACGATGCTGAGACTCTGTGTGCACTTTCTTTACATAGAATTCATGTTTTTTGACCACTACGCCCCAGGTACTGTATCAGGAACTTTCACATACACGAAACACGGCACAGCCAGTTAGTTGGGGAATGTAGGATCTAAACTCTGGTTCCTGGGGCTTCACCATCCCAGTTCACAACCTTCCATTACATTTTCCCCAAACCCGAGCACTTCTCATCTCTAGAATTTAAATTCCACATTGTTAAGGATATATTTATTCTTTTGCTCTTTACCATTTTACTCAACCATGAACTTTGTTAAATTTTATTAATTCTCCATTCTCATATATCTTGTAGCATTTTTTTGAATTTATTTTTCATCTTGCTGAAATACTTTCTCCAAGAGTCTTTTTAAAGTCAGTAGTTTTATGGTACGTCTATTGAGACCTAACATGTCTAAAAATATCTTTACTGTGTCCTCAATATAAATGATGTTTTAACTACACATAAAATTCTAAATCTAATTAGAAAATGGTCAAAAGACTGGAATAGACATTACACCAAAGAGTATGTATGGATGGCAGATAAGCAAGTGAAAAGATGTTCAACATCACTAGCCATTAGGGAAATGTAAATTAAAACTATAATGAGATACCACTACACACCTATTAGAGTATCTAAAATAAAAAATAATGGTAATACCAAATGTTAATGAGGATGTGAAGAAACTGAATCTTTCATGCATTTGCTGGTCAGTATCTAAAACGGTCCTCTGGAATATAGCTCAGCAGTTTCTTGTAAAGCTAAACATACACTTACCATATGACTCAGCAATTATACTCATATAAATGAAAATATATGCCCACATAAAAACTTGTACATGAATGTTCACAGCAACTTTATTTGTAATAGTCAAAAACTGGGACCAACCAAAATGTGAATGATTAAACAAACCATGGTACATCCATACCACGGAATATTACTCAGCAATGAAAAGGAATAAACTATTGATACACACAACAACTTGGATGGATCTCAAGGGCATTATACGGAGTGAAAAAAAAAACAACTTCAAAAGGTCACATGCTGTATGATTCCACTGACATAACATTCTCAAAGTGACAAAATATAGAGATGAAAATCAGATTAGTGCTTGCCAGGGATTATGGATGATAAGGGGGAAAAGGATGGGTATGACCATAAAGGGGTAGCATAAGGGAGATCTTTGTAGTGATAAAACAGTTCTGTATCAAGATAGCAGTGGTACTACATGAATCTACACATGCGATAAAGTGGCATAGAAGTATTTTTTTAAAAAACGATCTATTATTTGAACACACATGTGTATACACACGTACACACACACAATTCTAATATCTAAGTTATTTTCTTTCCACTTTTTGAAAATATTACTCAGCAGTCTTCTTTTCTCTAGTGGTGGTGATGAGAAGTGTGATATCAAGGTGATTTTTGTATCTTTGTAGGTAATCAGCTTTATTTTTAATCTTAAATTTCTCTTTAATGTGTCTAGATAGGTGTTGAATAATAAAGAATTCATCTAGTCTTTGTCCTGGGTTTGCACATGGACCTTCTCAAATCCTTGGAATTTCCTGAGTGATAGATGTGTCTTTGCTATACTAATGAAGTGGCTCCTGGTGAGCACCTAGATAGCATCAGGATGGGGGCTGGTCACCAGAAAGACTAACCATGTCATTAGAGAGTTAGGATTTTGAGCCAGCCTTATCTCCAGGGAGGGGAGGCATAGCTAGAGATTGAGTTCAATCCTGTGGCCAATGATTTAATTAATCATGCTCTGTAATGATACCCCAATAAAAACTCGGGATATCAATCTCAGTGGACCATCCTGGTTGGTGAATGAACCAATATGCCAAGAGGGTGGTGTGCCCTAATTCTACACGGAGAATGCACAGAAGCTCTGTGTTCAGGACCCACCCAGATTTCATCCTATGTATCTCTTTATTTAGCTTTTCCTGACCTGTATCCATTATAATAAAATTTAATTATAGTTGAGTGTTTTCTTGAGTTCTGTGAGTCGCTTTATTTATTTATTTTATTTTTGGTAAAGAAGATTAGCCCTGAGCTAACATACATGCCAACCCTCCTCTTTTTGCTGGGGAAGATTGGCCCTGGGCTAACATGCGTGCCCATCTTCCTCTACTTTATATGTGGGATGCCTGCCACAGCATGGCTTGATAAGCGGTGTGTAGGTCTGCGCCTGGGATCTGAATCTGTGAACCCCGGGCTGCTGAAGCGGAGTGTGCGAACTTAACCACTATGCCACCAGGCTGGCCCCTCTGTGAGTCACTTTAGCAAGTTATTGAACCTGAAAAGATTGTGGAACTCCCATGTTTGTAGCCAGTCGGTCAGAAGTACAGGTGGCCTCGGGACCTCTTGAACTTGTAGCTGGTATCTGAAGTGAAGATAGTCTTGTAGAGGACTAAACTCTTAATTTGTGAGGTCTGCACTAAACCCAGGAGGTTAGTGCCAGAACTGAATTGTGGTACACCCAATTGGTGTCAGAATAATGAGGATTTTTTAATCATCTTTTGTGGCATTTACTTGACCTTTTTATCCTAGTGATTTTCCACCTTTTATTTTCATATATTCTTATTAATTATTCCTTCAAATATTTCCTGTCTTCTATTTTCCCTCTTCTTCTGGGACTCCTATTCTAGGCACTGGGAGCCAAGCATGAGGTTTATTGGCAGAGTGTTTTTGGGTCAACACCTGGTGGGGAATGAAGAGAGAAGAACTGGGCAGAGGGAGAAGTTGAGCTGTGATGTAGTCATAGCAAAGGACTCAGCTAATCTTGCTGAGAGTAGGGATGGCCTTTTAGAATTATCCTCAATTAAAGCAAGGGGGTTGGGCTTGTATGCCCCATATCTACCAATCAAGGTATCTAGGCTGACCTCAGAAGGGAGTATGACCTTGGATGAAGCAGCTCTCTTCATGTGAGGACGGTACTTGGAGAGGAACTCAACTGAGAGCTGTCAGTCACCAGTCCTCCTATTGGGGGAGTATTGAGGAAATGTGCCTTTTATTACTTAAGGGGGAGAATTTGGGTCAGGAGTTGGAAAATTACAGCCCACGGGCCAAATCCAGCCTACTGCCTGTTTTCGTAAATAAAGTTTACAAGGCGTTCTCCCTGTGTGTGTCTCTATCTTCACATAGTCCTCCCTCTGTTTGTGTTCGTCTCCGTGTCTCTTCTCCTCTGCATATGAGGACATCAGTCATATTGGATTAGGGCCCACCCTAAGATTTCATTGTAACTTGATTATATCTGCAAAGACTCTATTTCCAAATAAGGTTACATTCACAGGTACTGGCCATTAGGACTTCAAAATATCTTTTGGGGAGAGGGCACAATTCCACCCAAGACAAACAGAGAACATTACCATTTGCCATTCAATGAAAATTCTGCAAGATGAAACCTCACATCCACATTGTAGGTGTAGTAGTGAAGCAGCTCTTTCCCATTGGCAGGTGTGAGAGCTGGGCAGGCAGGAATTGCACAGGTGATTCTCTTGTCTGTTGCTTTAGTGGCCAAAGGCCAGGGGATAGAAAATAGATTTCTCTCCAGTGCCTGACTGCTGAAGCCCCTAGAGTTGCTTAAGCTTATCCACTAATCACCTCGGCAGGCTTGCAAAAGTTTTGCAACATCCTTCTTAAAAAAAAAAAAAAAAGAGAAAATCCAGCAGCCCTCAAGCTGTCCACAGCAGAGCCAGGTGACTCACTGCAAGCAGTGCTCTATGTGTCTTAGGAAGTCCTTATCATCTTTCCACCAACACTTCTAATTATTTTCTAAAGGAGCGTTATTCCTAGAGGACCCATTTTTTTATGTAACATCATCCACCCCAAAAGTTAACCCCTGATGGATACCAACTGAAAGTTCTCTCTAGTGGTGTGCTGGTCAATGTTTAAAAACCAGCTCTCCATAAAGAAAAAGGTAGGGGGGAGCCCTGATTGGTAGGTTTCGCCAATTTCTGTGGTGTAAGTACTCCCACCATGATTAATTTCAAGCTACTTATGTGAAGTCAGTGAATACAGAGTTGGGAAGAGATGTGTACAATCAGTTCCTGTGAGCTGAGCACATCACTGAGTGTCTCAATACGGGGAGAAAGGAGTATGATTTGGGACATCCAGGGAAAACGTTCTAGAGGAGGTAGGATTTGCATGAGCCTTGAAGGGTGTGTACGTATAAATTCATCATCCCCAGCAAGCCTGTGAGACTGACAGGCAGCAGCAATTGTGTCTTATGCATCCTAATCTTCCTAAATTGTTAGGGTTTTACATTTGATGGCTCGTCAGTACATGAAACCCAAGTGCTTGTCTGCCCAAGCTAGCAGTGATGGCAAATCAGACCAGACCAACCTTGCTTCTTGCCTGTCTCCCAGCCAGCACACTCGAGCCGGTGATAATGAGGCGGCCCATGATGGGATAGACTGGTGACAACACTGAATATCAAAATTGTCAGAGCACATCCAGATCGACTCTGGGCTTAATGCCCAAAAGCTCAAAGAAGAGACCAAAGCTACAATGTTGATTCTTGCACAACATGTAACATCTAACGCTGATTCCATCTGCCAAGGAGTGCTGGATCCAGGCTGGATGCATTTTTCATAGTCATGGACCTCGAGCCACTAGTGGCTTCCATTCAAAGCCTTGTCTCTCTCCGAAGGGTCTCCATCCAGCCTGTTTGAAGGGTGAGAGATGAGGACATAATTGGCTTTGATTGTTTTTTCTGAGACAGAGATGGGGAGGTGCTGCCACTTGAAATTGGATTAGTGGCCTCTGTCCCCATCCTCCATTCTCTGTTGACTTCTTTCTTTGCAACAATGGGAAATGTGTTTATTGCTGTAAGCCAGTCATTGAAAGAAATCATGAGAGCATTTGTTCTTCCTCATATTTGTCAAACTGCAGATATTCCCCAATGGAGAGAAGATGGTTGTAAGGACAGGGGACGTTATAAATAACACAAAGTCTTTCCTTTTGTTCCCAACTTGAAATGGATTGTGTTCAAAAGTTTGGAACTCAGAACAAACATTATCCCATTGAACAACAGTGCTGACCTGGCCCGTGAATGCACATTTCACCCCTAACGGAAGCTGAGGGAGGAAGGCAGCATCTCCCAGCTCACAGCTTAGCCCAGCTGAGGTGCCTGAGGCAGCCACCTTAAGCTGGCCCTGCCTTCCACAGCTTTTTTCCTTTCTGTTCTTTTGAACCCACCTAGCAGATTCCTCATAAGCTGCAAGCTCTAATGGTAAAGGCAATGAGGCTCTGAGAGTGGGAGCATGGGGGTGGCCAGTACTAAGTACAGTCATGTGTAGGACAAGGTCTGTCTGCTCTTTTAAAAACAAGGAACTGGGGCTTTGAGTAGCCGACTTCAGTTCAGGAAATTGGTGTGCTTCTTGTTTGTTTGCTTGTTTGGTTTGTAATGCACCAGACGGTTTCACAAGGAAGCCTACACTTAAAAGCGGGGAGTAGCAGGGATGGTGCTGCTTGTTCTGAAGCCTGTCAAATAGGCTGATTAACTACACCATCACACATGGGATACTAATGTGACTAAGGTCACGCTCGCAATCCCTCTTAGAGTGGCCATTTGATTTTATACTTAGGAAAAGCATCGTAAGGCCACAAAATATATGTTTATGCTGGCCTGTTGT